TGCTTATTTAATCACATTATACTTCACCTTTGAAAATAACAACATTATATAATTGTAAACAGATCCAGCAGTTACATACATGCCCGGAGGTGGGAGGGGGTTGGGGTGGTAGGGGGCTCATATGGTCCAAAAGACCATGGCCAACAGGTCCAGAATTTGTCCTTTAAATTAGTTTATTTAATTTTTTTATTTATTAATTTGGTAACACTTTATTTTGATGGTCCATTTGTGTATTAGTAGACTGTCTGCATAATGTCTGTTGATACTGGTCCTTCAACAGAGGTTTAACTGACTATAAGAAACTTTGCAAGTACTTGTCATCTTACACTAACCCCAACCCCAACCCCAACTCCAACCTACTCCAAGTCTACTTATAATCCAATGAGAATTAGTTAGCATGTAGATGCAATTTAACTTAAATTCAACAAACGGACCATCAAAATAAAGTGTGACCATTTATTTTATAATAAAGTGTAATTTTAAATAACTATGGCCATTAATTCTAATCCCATGTAGCCTCAAAGCCACAACCCAGCAAAAAAAAAAAAAAAATAATAATAATAATAAATGATGTTTAACAGATGATGTTTAACAGAGCAGGGACATTTTCACACTATGTCTTATAATATTTTTTCTTCTGAAGAAAGTCTTATTTTATTTTATTTTCCGGCTAGAATAAAAGCAGTTTTGGATTTTTTATGAACCATTTAGGGACAAAATTATAAGCCCCTTTAAGCTATATTTTTTTTCTCAATAATCTACAGAACAAACCACAGTTATACAATAACTTGCCTAATTCCCCTAACCTGCCTAGTTAACTTAATTAACCTAGTTAAGCCTTTAAATGTCACTTTAAGCTGTATAGAAGTGTCTTGAAAAATATCTAGTAAAATATTATTTACAGACATCATGGTAAAGATAAAATAAATCAGTTATTAGAGATGAGTTATTAAAACTATTATGTTTAGAAATGTGTTTAAAAAATTTTCTCTCGGTTAAACAGAAATTGGGGAAAAAAAATAAACAAGCGGTCTAATAATTTAGGGGGGCTAATAATTCTGACTTCAACTATATATATTTAATTGACGTTTAATAGACATCTAAACATAGATGTTTTGGCTAAAACAAGACTAAACTTGGGCTGTCAGGGAAAATCTAACAGACATCTAAGAATAGACCAAAACTTGACTCGTCATCAAATTGACAGATTAGACATACAGTACTTCAAATGTGTAGTCATTCATTTATGCGTATTTGATGACTAGTTTAGTTTTGGCCTATTCTTAGACGTCTATTAGATTTTCACTGACAGTCCAAATTTAGCCTTGTTTTAGCCAAAACTACTATGTTTAGACATCTATTAGACATCTATCTATTAGACATCTTTTAAAAACTAAAAAATGCTTACTGGGAATAATGTGACATCAGTTACTGTGTATTGGGATCTTTGATACGACATCCTTATCCATACTGAGTAACTATATGGGTTGAAAAAGCACAAGACAAATAAAAAGCAGGCAGCAGCATCATTAGTCCCTTTCACACAGTGATATCAGTAAATATCTGGAAAATTTCCAGGAATGACTTTACCGGCACTGACGTTCCAGAATTTTTCTAAAAAAGACCATTCATACATCCATTCCACAATTCCGGTAAATTCTGACATCATTAACCAGAAATGAGCTCTAAACAGCTGCGCTTGTATTTGTAAACATAGAAGAGGTCGGACTTTTGTTGATGGTTTCACTTTAATTTAAAGCTTTAGCATTCATGCAGCTGCTTTATCCCAGAGACATCCATAGGCAGAGGCACTAACCGCAGCTAAAGTTTACACTTTTGACGACATTACAAATTCTGTGGATGGATGAGTATTAACTTTGATGAAAACATAGATGGAACACTTTCGCATGTCGTGATGTACATAATATGTGTGTGTGCTGGCATTCACCAGAGCACTGCTGCACTTCACGTGCACATGCAGCGAGCAACTGAAGCAGAGCTTGAAGGTAAACAAACAGCAGTTTTTCATAAGCATTTTATCGATCATTTTTCACACAGTTGGCATTAAGAAGGAACATAGAAATGTTATCTGACTAACATCTAGCAGCTAAATGTGTCTGGAAAAGTATTCAAAAGGCTTTTATTTTTATAAAACAGCACAGATGTGAATGAGTCTGACTGTTCTGACTGGCTAAAGTAGAGGCCTCATGTCAGCGCGTTCTAATCGTGAACGGGCTCTTTCAGGAATTTTTCCTTCTGCATTTACACAAAGCAGGATTCCAGCATATTACCAGTAATGTTACAACTTCTCTTTCTGGAAAATTCCCAGAACGAATTTACTGGTATTTTCAAAAAGGGCCTGTTCACACATATAGACCTTTCTGTAAAATTTCCTGTAATTTTCCGGAAAGGTCTGTATGTGTGAAAGGGGCTATGGTTGCAAAACATTGAACATATGTTTAAAAAGACTGCTAAACAGGTAAACAGCTAAATTTACTTACTTCCTAACAGATGAGAATCGGTCCCTGTCATACTGGCTTAATAGGCTTAATTAGCGGGGATGTCCTGTATATTGGGCATTATTGATTTATCCTGTACATGAACTTCCGTCCCCTATATTTGCCATTAAATGTTTTGAAAATAACTTTCCAGTGGTTTTAACACCAAGCGGCGTCCTCAGTCGTCAGCTGTCAATTCACACAAAAAGACGCTAATCCCGTCTGTGCTTTTGAGGCTGTTTACACCTGGTTACTTAATTTATTTTTGTTCTGATTGGATATAAATCTGATCGCTCAAACAACTTCATCAAGTGGTCTGGGACACATTCCAGATGAAACTGGACGGTTTTAAATAACTTTTTAAGACAAAAAATAATTTAAATTAAATAAATTATGTCCTGGAGAAAATCTGACCTGCGCCGGTTTAGAGGCAAACACATGTAAAGTGCAAAATTATAATAAAAACACACTTACTACAAGCATACAACATGTATTAACAAACAAAAAGCCTAAGTAAGAATTTGCATGCCATAATATATGTTTGAATAATAATGCCTGTTTAAATATAAATCACCTAAAATAAATTTTTTAATTAAAATTAAATATTCAAGCATGTGTTGTGATGAACAACCACTAATATAAACTGAATATATTTAAAAAGCACTCTAAAAGTTAAAATAATTATTGTGTATATTGATTATCACAACATATTGCATTATTGAATATCACCATATTGTCACCTTAGAATTACAAGGTTCTATCTGCATTCTAAATGATTTTGAGATATTGAGCTTCAAAGTTAATAGCAAACAGTATGTGTGTAACATTTTTTTTTTTACATATAAAGTTCTGTAATGTCAACATTTTATTAAAAAAAATGTAATAAGAATATGTGAATAACTCAATTTTGACAAAAAATTGTCAGATAGAACCTTATAAATCTAAGGTGACAATATGTCTACCTCTAGAGGAAGTCTCTGAGAAACTAGACAAAACAGTAATTATTTTTGATGCATATGATTCCAAATAGCACAAAATATTTCATAAAATATCATCAAAATGTTGTATTTAAACTTCTTAAATGCTAAATTTGGGGAGAAAAAAAGCAAAAAAGGCTCAGTTTCAGAGAAAAAAAAAAAACTAGGCTGGCTACAAGGCTGGCTACGGGTATGACATATTTACAAGTGGATGTGTTATCCAAATCACTAGCCTTTAAACTTTCAAACTGTCCACAGCAATATTTGGAAGTCGTCTTAAAAATGTACACCTAAATACATATATTTAGTGGCTTTAGACTATTTTAATATTTGTTTTGTCACATTTTAAATCCTTTTAACCCCCTGGTGAAAAGCCACTGCTGTAGAAGAGAGCCATTTGTTACCAAAGCCTCAATTTGGTAACTGTAGAGGAGGTGTTTTGACAGAGCTAAATTTAGGCCACATACACACTGTTCACAGTATTCGAACACGAAAGTGACAACCGCTTTTAAATATGTGAGCAAATGCCCTAAATGATCATCCCATGTCTGTACTGAACATGAATCACTGGTATAATCGTGACGATTGACAGCATGATAACCATAGTAATGTTCTGGCATCTCACATGTGATTGGTATGCACTGCTGGACTAATTATGTTCTGCCATTTTAGCTAACACACCAGCTGGATGGTACCTGATTATATAGATTACACAATCTGATTCCAAAAACCAATACTTGCAATTAGAGAAAACTACCTTTTTTAAATATACTCACATTCAAAGTTACTTTTTCATGGGTGATATGATGAACATTATTTGCTTGTGGCTGTAAGTTGTTCTTGATTTATTGATTCTTTATTTTTAAACATTTCACTTATGTATGTGTTCACAATTCTTCACATTTTTTTTGGAAAAGAACGAGAGAGGTGTGGAATTGTGCAGATCTGCCACAGAAATCCCCAACAAGATATGGAAAATGATGTGAAGTATATGTTTTTCTAATAATGTTTTTTGAAATGTTGCAGTTTTCTAAAATGACTTAATTTTAAGTAAAATAATTAATTTGAGGTATATGCGATGGAAGAAAGCTGTTAAGACTGTCAAAATAGTTATATATTATACTACTTCAATATACATGACACCACATAAAAGTTATCACAAAAGTAATCTACACTACCTGACAAAATTCTTGTCATTGATCCCAGTTCTAGTCGATCTCTTGGAAAAGTGACAGAAGGCAGATTTTCTGATGAATCATCTGTTGAACTGCATCCCGATCATCACAAATACTGCAGAAGACCTATTGGAACCAGCATAGACCCATGAGTCTCACAGAAATCAGTCAAGTTTGGTGAAGGAAAAATCATGGTTTGGGGTTATATTCAGTATGGGGGTGTGCGAGAGATCTGCAGAGTGGATGGCAACATCAACAGCCTGAGGTATCAAGATACTTGTATTACTTATTACATTACAAACCACAGAAGAGGGCACATTTTTCAGCATGAGAGCTGCTTCTAATACCAGTGTTAATTTCGTTGACGAAGACTATGACGAAAAATATTCGTCAACGAACATTTTTTACAGACGAAAACTAAATAAAAACTAAATAAAAAGTCAGATACGATGACGAAGACGATGACGAAATTTAACTGACACTTTAGTCAACGAATAAAAACGAGAGGAAAATGTTGGGGCGGGACGAATGGAGAAGAGATCCAATAAGAACTACCCTTTTGTGGGGAAATCCAATCAGAGCGAATCTTTTGAGGGCAGGTTGATCTTGGCAAAGCCATTTTCAAAATAAAAGCCGCGGTTTTCAAGTTATGATGACGTTTGTTATACATTATATTTAGTTACACATTATACTTGGTTACAAAGCGTTGGTTAATTTAAGTTGACTTTTCTCGTTAGCAACACGCTAAAGTTTTGTTCACTCGGTCCGAGGGCAGCGTCTCATGAACAGACAGACAGAAATGTCAGAGCTTGGTCTAGGACGAAAACGAAGAATTGACATCTGGTCAAACTTCACATATGACAACAAGGACAACAAGAGCGTCTGTAAACCATGTGGAGTAAAAATCGCTGGGAAAAACACCACCAACTTGAAGCGACATTTACAGACGGCTCATCCAGAAGTCCACACCAAGGTAAGCATAAACGCTAACGTTAAGGTTATCCTATAAGATAAACCACCGTGATTCTGCTAAACTTGGAATAAAATTGAAGCCAAAGGAAATTAACTTTAAATAGTATTGATTAAACGAATTGTCTCGCTGAATTAATTAATATAAATATGTGCACTATTATAATAGATGTTGTGGTGTTATATATGACTCGACAAAAGGTGTGTGTGTGTGTGTGTGTGTGTGTGTGTTATATGGCAAGAAAGAAGAAAATATCACAACTTTGTATATCATTTATATATCCTCATAGATACAGAAGATGTCTGATGACCATGGGCCAGGTGGAAATAAAGCTAGTGATGCTACTAGTACAACACAGCAGCAGGCCATCTCAGATTTCCTAAGGTCTTCAAAGTACAAGACTGAATCAAAGGAACAACAGACCAAGGAGCAGGCCATAGCTAGATGGATTGGATGGACAGGTTTACCACTCACAACAATTGAGGATGAGGACTTTGTGCTAATGATGGGGATGATAGATGGGAGACTAACAGTTCCAAAGAAAACTAAAATTAGCAATTTAATTAAAACACTGTATGAATGCTGTACTTTATCTTGAAAGAATGTCATATGCGTTTCATATAATTCAAGGACAATGCATATCTTTTTCAGGGAACATGTATATTGTTCAGGGAGAGCAGGTCTTGTGGTTATTTTTTGTGAAAAAGACTCATGTTTTTGACATGTAATAAAATGTTTTTTATTACAACAATTAGATATGTGCCTGTATTCTATATATGCTTCCATATATTATATTATACTTACAATTACATGAATTATGGAGAAAAATCTGCTAATATTTGTTCTACTAAAACTAGACTAAGACTAATAGACTTAAGACTAAACTAAGACTAAAACTCTTATGATATTTAGTCAACTAAACTAGACTAAGACTAAAAGATTTCAGATGACTAAAATAGGACTAAAACTAAATGGTGTATTATTCCAAAGACTAAGACTAAGACTAAATCAGAATTTGCTGTCAAAATTAACACTGTCTAATACTTCAGCCTACACTTCAAAGGTTCTGAAAGCAAAGGTCAAGGTGCTCCAGGACTGGCCAGCCCAGACACCAGACATTAACATTATTGAGCATGACTGATGTAAAATTAAGGAGGAGGCATGGATCCAAAGAACCTCAGGGAGTCCTGCAAGAACGCTTTCTCTGCCATTCCAGATGACTTTAGTTATTTGAATCATTGAAGAGTTGTATGGATGCAGTTCTCCAAGCTCATGGGAGTCATACACAACCTTAATTATTTTTCAACTGCACCATGACTTTATTTTCTATACTGTACATTATTTTTGTTATGTGACAAAACTTTTGTCTAAGCAAAGTCAGACCTTTCTGTCTTAATTAAATAATTATAAATCAAGGCATGATCATATTTTATTTTGGTAAAATAAGTGTAATCTAGAGGCCTTTGCCTTTCATATAAGCCACTTCTGACCAAATAATCAACTAGAAGTCAAGTTATAATTTGTTGTTCCTAAAGCTTGGATAGGCGACAAGACTTTTGTCAGGGAGTGTGTATTATTCAGTTTACGTTTCCATAAATGCATAATTTAATTCAATGTTTAATTCAACATTTTGACTGCAGTTTTGGCTTGATCCATAAAACAATCAAGAATCCATATTGGTAGATGCAAGTAATGATATTTTTGGACTTGTTTTAATATGAAACATTATTTCTTTCCAGTTCATAATAGACTTCTGATTTTATTTTGATTCTGGCAAAAACTGGAAAAAAACAAACAAATTAGTGTATATATGTATATGTATATAGTGGTATATGTGTTTTCATTGATCTGTTCAAAATTGGTCAGCCAAGAAGCATTAAAATGTGTTCAAATGGCTCTCTTTTGTCCACTTGTGTACAGACTTTACAGTGTTTTCCCTCTTATCATGTCATTCTCTACATCACATTTGTTTTTATGAAAGCTTGGAAAACAACACATGAGTACTACTAAATATTTGAACCCATGTTACTGTATGTGGCTGATGAAAAAGTGGGAAAACAACTACAACTTAGATCATAATGTGAGTGTTTTGGTAAAACACAGTAACCTCTGTACCTCGTTTTGTTTCTCTTTCACACAACAAATCCCACAATGATCACGTTTGCTGTCATTTGTGGCTGCATTTGACAATTTGTGCATCAACGCTACAAGAGTAATTTGACTGAATGCCTCTTCAATTATGTTTGGAAGTGTTTGAAAGCTCAAATATGTTTTAGACCCCATTTACACTTGTATTTAACATTTGTGACTTTTGGTTAGGTTGATGGAAACATATTTAACAAATACCAGGTGTAAACAAGGTCTAATTTAACCCCCTTTACAGAAGCATTCAAATGTATGAAAGTTAAAAATACATACTTAAGTAGGGTGACCAGATTTCTCAGAGAGGAATCTGGGACAGACAGTTAGGACCTATATTGAATGCTCCACTCTGTATTATTATTATTATTATTATTATTATTATTATTATTATTATTATTATTATTATTATTATTATTATTATTATTATTATTATTATTATTATTATTATTATTATTATTATTATTATTATTATTATATTTTTTCAAGCTAACTAAAAAGTTTAAGTGTTCAGTGGTTAAACTTCCAACAAAGCTTCTAATGTTCATGTTTTTATCTCTCTATAACAGTGTTTCCCAACCCTGTTCCTAAAGGCACACCAACCACACACATTTTCTAACTCTTCCTAATCAAACACACCTCAATATCAACTCATCAGAACAATAAAAGAGACTCCAAAACCTGAACTGAATGGGTCAGATAAGGGAGACATCCACAATATGTACTGTTGGTGTGCCTCCGGGAACAAGGTTGGGAACTCTGCTCTATAAATTGCTTTTGTGTCCAGTTTCTTCTCCTCAATGCTCTCTATTATCACTGACATCACAGGTCTCACCTTAACAGACTGTAACCTGATCAATGTTGAAATGTAGCTGGATGGTAATTTTGTTTGTTACAATATAAAATGATATGACTGGCTAACATAGATTAGGCTATTTTGCATGACAAAAGAGTACTATTGCTAAGCAATGAATGATTTTTATTAAAAAGTGAAATACAGAACAGTGGTCAATTCTGCTGTGGCAAGCCCTGAAAAAGTAGGCCAAAAGGGAACGTCACATTGTTTTACCTCGTTGACTTCCATTCATAAGCATGTAAATGCACCAGACCAGAAAACCAAGCTCATGCGACAAGTTTCTCAAGTTTCTGCATTCCGAAATTTAAACTCCATGTACTCTGACTTACACTGTAAGAAATATCTGTTGATTAACCACTTCCCTATTTTGTTTTCTGTTTTTTTTTTTTTTTTTTTTACACAGTGGTGAATTGCATTATGAGAACTTGATCTCTGCTCTGGTCATCTTGATGCTGAAAATGCAACTCTACATAGAGACTTTTATTGACACTTTAGTAGTTTGAGACAAGATATTGTTTAAGAAATAATATATAGAAAACTAATTTTGTAAAATAACAGAAAATGTACTAGCAGCTTTTACCAGGTTTTTGGCGGTTCATTCCGCTGTCGTGACCCCGGGTTAATAAAGGGACTAAGCCGAAAAGAAAATGAATGAATAAACAACATAAGCCCAGACAATATAACACTTTAAACTATTCAAAATGTTCATAAAAGTCACTTTTTTAGACTTTTCAAGGCAAAAAGTTGTTGGAAGAAATATAAAGTTTCCAAAATGCAATTCAAAAGCCTATATAAGTCATGAAAAAAACATCAGTTACAAAATACTGAAGATAATCTAAAAGAAAACTACCAATTTACAGATACTTTTTACAGTGTACTCTATAAGATCAATTGTGACCTCTCTGTACAGAAATATAAAATGTAGAGAAATCAGTGTTGCATTAGCAATCCAGTACTTTTTGGTGCTTAAAGGAAAGTGAATTTACATCAGTTACAGTAGTTTTCGTTTTAAAACATAAAGGTTTCCATACTTCTACAACTTCAACCGATGAAGACTGAAATGCTGGTGTTACTTTTCTGTTTTAAAGGACTGAAACACAGAATTTTGAAAATGGAGGCACGGATATCCACAACTACTCTCTTACTGGTCTTCTGAACTACTGTGTATCATTCCCTAATTCATCAAGCCCCTCTCATTACGCAACTGGTAGACAGCAAGTTCAGATGCTAGTCAAATAGGCATATTTTATTATCTAACTTGCAATTTAAGCTGCATACCAGTATCTTAAAAAATATCTACTGAAATATTATGTACAGCCATCATGGCAAAGACAATAGAAATCAGTTAATAGAGATGAGTTATAAAAACTATTATGTAAAACTATAAGAACCAGTTGGTATACGCTAAAAATAGAGCTGAAATAAGGGACTATCCAGTCACCCTAAACTAGTCAACCTCACAACCATCCTGCCCATCTCGGTTGACTGGTGTGTTGATTTGTGGTAGATTTCGATAGGTATGAGTCAGGGTGGTGTGTGTATGTCCGTGTGAGCGAATAAGAAGTGTGAAAGAGAGAGAGGTGAGAGTTTGACCTTTCTTGTTTGTGTGCATGTCTGTGGCTGTTGTTGCCATCGAGGTGTTGCTAGGGGGCCATCTTGACAACTTCCTGTGATGGGCTGTAATCAGGCTGGCGGCCCTCCTCACACCTGATCTGAGTGCATGTGGCCTGTCACCTAAATTTAGCTCGGTGACATGTGTGAAAACACACACATGCAGAAACACACACACAGACACAAGCTTTCATCACGAACGACAATCCTAAATAATACAAAACAGGCACATGTTGTCTGATATTGCATAGACTATTTGTCTACGGCCTAACTCTAAACAAGGTTTTTATAGTTAACTAAAAACTAGAAATAACTGACACTATTGTGTACATACAAAACTAACTGAAATTATAGCAAAAAAGTCCTTCGTTTTCATCTTTGTAAATGTATTTAATACACAATCCTACTGTATGCCTTTTAGAAGTGAATCTATTTACTTCGCGCTGCCAGGTGTTTGACCCGTATGACAGCAGCACGGTGACAGCATTAAACTACTATATACTACCTAAGCAGAAACTTAAAAGTATTAATTTAACACATTTGTGCTCAATGATAAGTTTTATTTCTGTATTAGTGATCGCAAACAAATCGTTCTTTTTAACCGGATCTTCTAAGTAAACCAGTTGAACTAGTTCACCAAATTGAACTGAAACAAAAACAAATACTGAAAATAATAAAAACTAAACTAAAACTAAGCAATTTCAAAATCTAAAACTAGTAAATCTACCTCTAAAAATAAATTAAAACTAACTGATTTAAAAAACAAAAGTCAAAATTAAATAAAAACTAAAAAAAAAAAAAAAAGAAAAATCGAAAACTATCATAACCTTCTCTACCACTAAGCCTAACCTTCACAGAAACAACTGCAAATCATTAGATACTTTTATGAAGATGTTTAGGTCAACTTAATAGCATCTTAATATTCTGGACCACACTGTAATAGGGCGTTCATAACAGACGCAGATGTCAAGCGCAAGGAATTTACATGTAAAGCTGAGCATTCCCAGGAGGCTAAACTATTACTGTAATGTGAGTAACCCTGACAACAGAGTTGAGGATCCAAATGCAGGTTTATTATAAGAATTGTCAGACAAGCAATGGTCAAATGGATGTAGAGTCATGGTCAAAAACAGGCGAATGGTCAC